CCGGCAGAGAACACTGTGGATCGCGGGGTCGCAGTTGGACGAGGACGACGAGGACGACGAGGAGGACGAGGAGGACGAGGAGGACGAGGAGGAGAGGAGGAGGAGGAGGACGAGGCAGGAGGAGGAGGCAACTGACATAAAATCTAATAACCCTCACCTGGCAGGTGGGGAAAAAACCAAAAGCATGAGGTTATATGGTTTTGGATCAAAATTGCCCCATAACCAATGTTTTACATGATGTACACTTATAAATATTTTCTAATTGTGGTTCCCCCAAATCTAATTGACACATATCCCTATTATTATGTATAATTTGGACGACCTTATGTGATCTTATGTGGGTGTGTGTGGTGTTAAGAGCCCCCAAAAAATATATTGCGGATGATATATCCCAAGAAGGCATAAGACCTCAGCAGTACATGTTTGCGAGTGGCCAGGAAATGACCTATGTGGAATGCCCGGTGCCATCTGGCAGAGAATCGTCCAAAGCATGGAGATACAAGCAGATTCCTATGTATGATCCTCATAGCCTCCTCGCATATTTATTTGATGAGATCAACCTCCAAATTCCCACAGTGGAAGTTCGAAAATACTGGCAGGCTGCAGCTGAAAGAGGGTGTCCGTGGGCACTGCGTGAAACTGGAGACCGCATTCCGGTGAAAATTTTCGGAGACGATTGTGTCTATGATGAGCGCCTGACAAAAGCCTATGGCATAGTTTTGTCGCTTCCGCTCTGGCGCCCGAAGTCAGCTCGGAATTCTAGATTCTTGCTGTGGGCGCAAAAGTCCTCTCAGTTTGTTGGCATTGAAGGATTATTGCCCATTCTGGCTAGGATGGTGTGGTCCCTGAATCTGGCATATGACACCCATCTACCAAAGACTGGTCATCGCTTCGCTGTGTGCGAAATTGGTGGAGATTGGGCTTGGAACAGGTTTTTCTGGCAGTTTGAGCGCCACTGGAATGGGATTCGACCTTGCCCATTTTGCGATGTGCAAAAATTTGGGCCTCTAGGCTACGCGGCATTGCCGGATATGCCTTGGAAGTCCAACTTCGATTTTCTCACCAACATTGTGGGCAGTGGTGGGTCACAACGGATGAATCCATTCGTTCTGCTGAGGAACTTCGACATGTCTTTGATCTCACCATGTCAGCTACATAATTTGAATCTTGGGCTTCTATGGACGTCGAATGGTGGAGCAATCGCAATTTTTGGAGAGCTGGGGTATTTCGGAGACCCAACTACCAGTTTGGCTGTTGTATTGGAAACTGCGTGGGACGATTTTGTTCTTTTCATGAAGCAAGAAGGCTTGAGATGTTCGCAGCCCAAATTCACCATCAAAATGATATTCAAAAAATCTCACGGCGCTTACTTTAGTGCCAAAGGCCACAATTCAAGAGTTCTGGCAGACTGGTTGGCAGATTGTGCTCAGCGAGCTTGGGAAGGGCGCTTTGGTGAGGGGAGGCTGTTTGGCTTGTGGCTGCAAGGCCAGCCTAACTACCTACAACTCGCTCGGCAGGATGAGCAACTGGTTCCGCTTTGTTTGGCTTTGCTGCTCAACTGAAAGCTGCCTTTTCAAATTTGGTTTGGGATTGGGCCCGGTTGAAACTTTTGATCTGGTTGATTTCGATTGTGGTTCAAGTAGAGGGCCCCTACTGATCACCTGTCCTCTTCTTTTCTACCCATTTCCTGTCCTATTGATCACATGTCGGACTGATCACCTGTCCCGTTGATTACCTGTCCTACCTGCTCAGGATCTCGATATCGCGCTATATGGCATTGAGCGATCGCTACCCCCGCTTTTTGAGCCTTAGCCCGAAGGGTGGGTTCGTGATTGCTGTGGATTTGACTTCTTGGGAAACCAGAAAGGTCCAGCAAAAGGCATTTTGAATTTCAAAGATGTTTTGGCGTAGTTCCCATTCTCGTTTCATTGCGTGACTTGGTTCATGGGGATGACTAATTAATTTTGACAATTTGCATTGTGATCGGTCCCATTTATAGGTTTGTATACAAGGCCGAGCCTCAATGTATCCTCAATGTATCTAGATCTCCTTCTATGTGTTGTACCTCTTGGAGGCATACCCCATTCCGAGACATTTCAAAACATGCTTGACATTGGGTAACCTATGGCTACCAACGAATCCTTTGACAGGGCATCCAAGCATTGCGACAAAATAGGGCCCTTGCACCAGTATGGCTTTAGCTTGCGCTTCCAAAGGACTGCGCATCAAGCGGCGGAGCTGTTTCATTCTGGCCGTGACTTCCTTCATGCCCACAAACGTCTCAACCGCATCGCTATGAGGACAGAAATTTCAAATCCCCTTCGAAACAAGTTTTTAGATTGGGCATGGCTAAACTCTGAATAGGCGCTAGCAGATTTTTTTGCAAGCCGCTAAGTCCTGGTATACCAATTTTTCAAACATTTGAAACAAACCCATCTGGATTGTACAGGTCCTAAGACTTAAGACTTTTCTATATAAAAAAAAATACATCCTCGGGAAAAGCTATAAACAAACCCATTAAGCAACACCACTTTCAGAAACTTTCCAGGATTCAGAGAAGAAGGTGGCTTTTGAAGCCAAAATTCCATGCCCCTTGGCTGACATTGAGTTGAAAAAAGATTTTGGTAAGAGGGGTTTTCCTAGGTAATCGCAGGCTTGTTTGGATGCCATTTTGGAAGTTGAGGCTTGGGATGATCAGCTCAAGCGGGTTCGAGTATGGAGAACCTTTGGATGAAAAACAGTTCTTAACTTTTGATTGATTTGGGTCAGTTCGTTCCAGTGGTCTTTCGATCAGTTTTGAAAACCTTTTTACACCATGATGATGATGGTGATGATGATGATGCTGATGATGATGATGATGATGATGTGGTTGGCATTATGATGTGGTTGACATGATTGTCAGAATGCTGCCCATGACCATCGTCCGTAACTCGGAAGTTTTCTATCTAATCTTCCTTTGACTACCAACTTTCCTACAATCATGGATTGTGATGGTGATGATGATGATGATGGTGGTGGTGATGATGATGATGAGGATGTGTATTTGGATGTTATCAACTACCACGGTTTTGGAACACTCCTCTTTATATGTTGTCAACTCATGGCACCACGACCTAAGGAATGAACCAACGTTTTTCGGCAGGGTGGTTGGATGAGGATCATATGTCCTTACTGAAAAAGTTTGCCCGCAGAGCTGATGCTAGGAAATTCAGTTGTGGCGTCATGAAAATGACGGGATTTCGCCTACTGGCTTTGAAACACCGCATTTTGTGGTTGAATGTCCAGGCCAGAAATCGAAAACAGTAAAACACAAGCATTGAGCTTGGAAAAAAATATATGTGAGCTGCCTCTCAGAGGGGATGGAGTGTGGTATGTTGCAACCAAACATGAGCAGTATAATATAAGCTCTCGGCCGTAGGATCCTCGTCAATATTATATACCAATGTTACAAGACCCTCGGCCGTGGAATCTTCGGCAATGTTATGAAACCCTCGGCCGGGAGATCCTCGGCATTGCTATGAATCCTCGGCGAGAACCCTTTTTAGGTCCACTTTTCCTGAGGATGTACTTTTTGAGGTCTTAGGACTTCTTGGGAATCATAAAGACATTTTTTAAATTATAGTTTTATCCACCATAAAACCAAACGTATCTAGGAGACCTGGCAGACCGAAATTAGATTGGGTGATAGAATCATACGGAGATGCATGTTCTTTCTTAAATGGACAAGGCGCTCAATTTGACACTGCAAATATTAAGCATTTACGGCAGGTCAAAGAACATGCTATTCTCAAGGAGTTTTAAAACTATTGAACTATTGACTTGCCAAGGCTTCGGCTACTCGAGGTACTTCGTTTGGTATTCACTTTTGTCGGAACGCACGGTCTTCAGCTGTTCTTTTTTGACACAAATCTCACTAAACCGCTGCAAGCAAATCTGGATGAACCTGGCTTGCAGCGTGCCCTTCGTCATTACGCTTCGGGAGCTCAAGTGTGCTTGGTTGAAAAGAAACCCAGTTAAGTAATTATAATAATAAGTTGGTTTATGTTCATATTCACCCCGCTTCGCGTGGGGTGGCCGCCCACACCGCAGGTTTATTTCGGTCCGTGAGAGAAGCTAAGAATTTTCACTTTCCCCCCCCGTGGGGGCTCCCCAAGCTAGGGAATTTTCACTTTTCCCCCCCGTGGGGGCTCCCCAAGCTAGGGAATTTTCACTTTTCCCCCCCGTGGGGGCTCCCCAAGCTAGGGAATTTTCACTTTTCCCCCCGTGGGGGCTCCCCAAGCTAGGGAATTTTCACTTTTCCCCCCTGTGGGGGCTCCCCAAGCTAGGGAATTTTCACTTTTCCCCCCCCGTGGGGGCTCCCCAAGCTAGGGAATTTTCACTTTTCCCCCCCGTGGGGGCGTCCCAAGCTAGGGAATTTTCACTTTTCCCCGCCGTGACAGCTTCCCAAGCTATGGAATTTTCACTTTTCCCTCCCTTGGAGGCTCTCCAAGCTGCGGAATTTCAGATAGCTAGACAACGACGCCTAGATAGTCCCCCAAATCCCGTGTTCTTTGAATGTGTTTCCATGTTTTTGCAATGGTTTCCTTCAAAGCACGGTACTTTACACTTTTGTCGCCATAAAACCGGTCGAAAACATCATGTTCGACAATGCTTCCAATTCCCTTATCTCCCCAACCGTTGAAAATACCGCTATTTACAGTGTTTTCTTCAATTTTTCCATGTTCCAATGCCGGTAGCCAACTCCAACATATATATATAAGAAATCCTTCCAAATCATTGTTTTTGACAGTGTTTGTCCAATGTTTCCAGTCAAACAGACGGTAATTTAATGTAATTTACACGTTTTTTGCCATAAAGGCAGTAAATCCTTCCAAAACATTGCTTTTGACAGTGTTTTTGTAATGTTTCCAGTCAAACATACGGTAATTTACACGTTTTTTGCTATAACGTCAGTCCAAAACACTTGTTTTTGCAGTGTTTTCAATGCTCTGGCATCCAAAAACCCTGCAAAATCTTGCTATGTACAATGTTTTTTTCATTTTTGGCCGTTTTTCCATTGCCGGAAAGCTACCAAAATGACCCAAAATTCCATTTCAATACCCTCTTGCGCTCAGACACCCAAAAATCCTCGAAAAATGTCGAAAACACCACCGTATTCTGGTCTCGGTGCGAAACCGTTTTTTGGCCCCCCCCCCAGCTAAAGCTGATATAGCGACTGCTATATTAACAAATGTCATTGAGCATTTAGTGTTGCTGTTTTGCCCCCCAATAAGCACGCCTTCACCGCCAAAGCGGTGTGGGCGGATTTATATAGCCAATTCTTTAACAATAGTTATATCCCCCACAAACCCAAACGTGCACACTTCGTTTTATGTGCGTCAACTTCGCCCAGGCCGTGGTGCGAATCGGCTCCCCTGGTGGCAGGGTGACAGACTATGGTTTCGCAGCTGCACAGCTATTGCGACTGCGATCCAAGGGGTCACTGGGACGCAGCGATGCGCCGTGTTTCTGGGTTCTTTCATGCATTAACTGAGAATAGAGTAGGGATTTATGAGGCTAGAATTTGGATATGATGGGATAATACTGGGATATAACCTTTGACCCTCTGCTAATCTGGAAATCAAACATGGCTGGCAGGGAAATTCCCCTTAAATTGAAGGTTTTAATGGGAACATCATCTATAAATGGAGAATTGTCCATTGCTATGCTTACCGGATGGTATATACGCTGTAGGGAGCGCCCCAAAATTGTAAAATCACATTCGTTGAATCTTGACTTGTGAGTTTTTGTTTCTTTCATATCATGAAGAAAGCGATTGCACGAAAATTATGACTTGGACATAGTTATATGATTTATAGTGATTCAATTACAGTATGATTGGTAACATGATGTCAGTAATGTTTTATAATGTTATACTGTATATGGCTTGCGGTTTACGGGCGGTAAGAGCAAGAGTCAGAGTCAACCACACACGCGGGGATGACCATGAAGATCAAAATATAGACCCTGCCGCGGGGGGGAAACTGGTTTCCTTTTTGGGATTTGTTTGGGATGATTTCTGGATTTATGTATGTCACGTGGTTGGGATTGGTTAGATCGGCATCTAACTTTTATGCCATCGGATTCCACAAAATCAAGTTCTGTAGCCCCATAACTTCGCCTTTGTCCGGACACAAATAATCATCGCAGCCTAGCATCCTCCCATGTATGCCACCTCCCGTCAGCGTCACTAGGCTGACCCTCACAGCGTGTGTCGATAAGGTGCTCGATTGTTTTGGTGACCGGGCAGGTCCCTTATTTGATGTTACCGCACTATGAATGATATATCTATATATATATACTGTACGATTCGATACACTTGGATTACCCTCTAATAAATAAACATAAACTAACATCGCTGCTAATAGCTATGGAAAATGGACCATTTATAGTTGATTTAAATATTCGGATGGTGATTTTCCACAGCTATATTACCAGAGGGTCAAAGAAGACGTGTTACGCTTATCCTCCGGCAATCGAACACAGCAATTCAACATGCCCCACAAATGGAGGTTTATCGCTGTTTTTTGATGGATCTTCCATTGCCATGTTTGATGACTGGGTACTGTATCCATTCTTCGATTCTGAGATCCACTGATGGAGATATATAAATAATGTCGCAGACGTTGAGACCTTCAACCGGAATTGGTTGAAGGGAACATGTGCCATGTGCAGGAAACTTGTACATTTGGAAGTAAAAACATGTGGGTATGGGTCAAATTTTGGAACCCCTGAAATTGATGGCCAAGAGATTTCGTACCAAAGACCAAACCTCGAGGTCCCCTGCACCCAAAACTTGAAGTCCCCTGCACCTTGAGTTTTCACCCAGACCCATGTGAAAAGTGCCTTTAGCCAATTTATGAACTGAAGTCAGGACCCATGCTTAGTGTTGGGAGCTGATTGGAGTTGGCAGAATGGATTGCAGCTGAGTTGCCATCCCTTTACCCAATTTGGACGGTATACTTCTCGATTTGCAGAGCACCTTCTTTATCAGAGCCCCCGCATTCACCTCCAACATCAATATTAATGTTCGTTGAATTTCGTTAAGGCCAAATACCCTCCGGCAATCAAACATGGCAACAGAAAATTCCAGCTCATTGATATTCCCATTAAAACATGAACAACTTCCACTTATGCAGGGTTTTTTTGGCATCATACAGTCACCTTTGATTGCCCGGGGTTAGACCATAACATGTTCCTGGCATTTCATATGCCGACAGCCAGTACCAGGTGGCTGCCTCTGGAGGCTACATGTGACTTGGTGATCCTTCGAGTGTATGCAGTTTATTGATGTTTATTGCCCATAGGGCCCATAGGCCCATAAATGTTGAAATTATATAAATATGTGATATACTTGTAGCTATTATACTCTATTATATAGAATTTATGTTCCAATAGCAGTATATAAATATACTATTATGTTGATATATAGCTGTTTATTGTTTAAAAATGTCTGTATAGCAGTTTGCTTCAACATGTTGAAATTATCAGTTGTACTGGAAAATTGTGAATCAACAGAAAAATCAGATTATAAATTCAAGGTTTCACCACTTGGTGGGTCCATGAGCAGCCCAGGATGGCATGTGCTGTCGGGAACCCAAGTTGGAACTGCTCCTGGAGGGTGATGAAGCCACAGTGAAAAAAACTGTACTGCCCACGAGTTGTGAGTTTTTTCCAGAACATGTGCATAGAATTTCATAGATGCAATCTATGGTCATATGGCAGTTTCTTAGTTTTTTTTTTTTTAATGTGAAACATGTACACACACACACATATTATATATATATATGTATATAAATCATACATATATATATATATATATTAAACACGCACAGTTATACACATGTGCATCCGTCATATCTCTAAGCATTTGTTCAACCATTTGTGCAGTATCCATCTACCCAATCTATCTATGTTTATTTGCATATTTTTAAGATATTTTGGCATAGATATATGCACATACAAATACTAATAGACATAGATGTATACATATCCTGGTAGTCGTAGCCGGAGGCCAACAGCGTGGTGGCCACACCCTTTTCCTTGGTTGGCTCCATAGGTGGGGCTCTTGGCTCTTTGGGAAGCTGTCAGCCGGGGTTTACTGATTTGATAACTTTGGATTTGCTGATGATTTGTTGTTTTTCCCAAGAAATCCACTTGAGGAATCGTGTTTTGGTGGTTCCTGGAAGTTCCCGGATCGCAAATCCTGACACATGTTTTGGGGGTCCAGGCTTCAGTGGGGAACTGGAAGTTTGCTTCTGTTCGTGACCGAGCTTGGGAATCGGTACATAGAAGATTTTCTCAAGCACAACAGCAGGAGTATGTTGGCACGTTGTCGCGGTCCAAGACTCTTCAATAAATATCCCGAAAACAGGCAAAACTTCTTGACAGTTACTTAGTTGTTTAGCTAACGGCTTTCCGTTTGACTTCGCTGGTCGTTTTCATCCAAATAGATATTGAACAAACTGAAAACCGGGCACTGAAACTTCAGCTGCCAGGTGTGCTGACTTCCACCCCCAACTTCTCGAAAGTCTTGAAGAGGCGAAACTGCAGCACGAAAGGGATGGGGGAGTGACCTGCCCCATCCGCTGCTGACTCGAAGGTCCTGGGTTTTGTAAAGGTTTCAACACAAGTTTTTCCCAGGGAAGACACTTCCAGTTCATATGTCATATATCCTCCGGTAAACTAACAGTTTGCTATGGAAAATCCCCATTTGTGATAGGTAAATCAACCACAAATGGCCAGTTTCCATTTCCACGTAAAATTACCAAAGAGTAATCCATTTAAATCCCATTGCCAATACATCATCGGTTTCCTGGGTTAAATCCCATTAAATCACAATTTTTCCAAGGTGATTCTACTAGGAAACAAATCCACAGAACACATCTCCAAGGTGGGCTCAGCTGCAGACATCTCCAGCCACAGCACTCCACCCCCCTTGGATGAAGGGGTTATTCAGTTATCCACCAAGAATATCCAGTTATAACGGGTTATTATTGGTGAATAATATAATTGTATGACACACACACACATGTAATGATTATCCAGCTATATTATTCGTGAACTGAGATGAAACTGGGGCAAGCCAACAGCTCAAGGGTACTTTGTAGCTACTTTCCATATATGTTCGCGGTAGATGATGTCATATAAAGCAAGAAACTAAGGTTTCTTGCAAGGTATCCCAGATTGGTCTGACAAATAATAGATCATCACCCAAATACCAAGACTTTATGTATAATTAGTAATATAACTATGTTTTGTTGGATAGCAACATTTAAGAACAATTATTGATATTTTTTGGGGGTGCATATGTATATGAGTTATTTTACCCTGATATCTTATATAGTCACTGTTGAATCCGAAAGATTTGCCAACATCGGTTCAATATATTCTGTTTTAATCCCAAAGATTTGCCATCCCAAATATTATATCATATTATATATATATTTTTTAACATGACAAAACACGCGTATATATAATATCATATAATAGACATTTGTGTCTAATATCTTTTCACCACTTTATCTCTTAGATCGATCTCTATCTCCGAAAATTTGGCCATCGGCCTCCGCGACCGAAAGGCACGAGATCGACTGGATCCAGATCACCGCGGGAAAGTGGAAACGCACCGTGGATCCCTTGAGCGAAATCACCGAGGAACAACGCGCCAAGGCTCAGGAGGACGTCGGTGCGCCACGGCTGACGGTGGGAATCTGGGGCTTTATTGGTTCATAAAACGATTTCCCTCTGGTAAACTAACATAGCTATAGAAAATCACCATTTTGAATAGGTAAATCAACTATTTCTATGGGGTATGTTCAATAGCTATGTTAAATTACCAAAAAGTAATAATTCGGGATAATAGTGGTTAAATGATGGTTAATATTGGATTAATGCTGGTTAAGAATGGTTAGTAATGATTAACAATGATCAATAAAACAATAGATGGTTAGTGGGATAATCATGGTTGAGGGATAATCGATCATATGAATCATATCTAGTTCGTAGTGTCTAATGGTTGGTAGTTAAGAATGAGTAGCAGTAATGATTAAGAATGGATATCTCTGATATATGTTAAGAATGGTTAATGAATGTCAACGATATCCACTGTCAATACTGGTTTAACTACTATTTGAACCATTTATAATGGGACATATCTGAATGCTAGTAAAGCAATAGGATCCATCATCCACAATTTTACCTTTTTTATGGGTTGTACAAACATGTATAAACCGCATATTGTAGTTGTTTCTGTATTGATTTACTAACATTACCACATTGGACTAGGTCTTTGTTGAATGTTGTGCAAAATTGGAGGTGCCATGCATGAGGATAGATAGATATAGTATATAAACATACATATGTCCACGCAGGTTTACATGTGTATATGCTTACATATCTTATTTTACGTTATACATGCCTTATATAGAATACATACCACCTAGCCAACGATGATGCATGTAAAAAAAGGCAGATGTGTACATAAAAGTTGTTTGTCTCTGTTTGTTTGCAGGGTATCTAAGATTAATGTCAACCGCCGATTTTGCCAAATTGGGCTGTTGATCACTGGGGGGTAGCATTTTAGTAGCTGACCTCCCCTTCCAATGAAACTGGTAGAAGAATCTGGGGTTTTGATAGAATTGTGATGGCTTGTGTAGAATTGATCATACAATTTAAACATGTTTGCTATTTAAGTGATCTTGAACATATTTGTATTGTTTTTGTATTGTATTCCTGCTATATTTTTGTTCATGTCGATTTGCGTGGTACTGTTTGTGCTGGGAAAAGTCCAAATAATCCACAAACTGGGCCCCTAGATCGGCAAATTGGTTTGCAACTAGGCTAAGTGGGGTTTATAGTGGGGTTATGCTGGATATATTTAATTATTTAGAGATGGGCGAAAATAAACCTTTTTTGTAAATGTGGGTAGTTTCAGCTGTTTTGTTTTACGGATTCAATATATACAGTATAAACATGTATATATATATATGGATGGATGGATAGATAGATAGATAGATAGATATAGACATAAATAGCACGTGTATGCTATACTATAGCCCAAGTGCATGTGTAACTCGGATTTTGACCATCCAACTGGGAGTCCATTGGGTCCATGGCGTTTGCGGTCAGGACGTGCAGGCAGTTCACGAGGCCTTTAAAGGTGCGATGGATTTGATGCCAGAAATCAACATTTTTGATAGATAAAGCAACTATAAATTGCCATTTTCAGCAGCAAACTGCTAGTAGCTGCTGTTTACCAGGGGCTTTTGCCGTCTTTACAGTACCTCAGTACCTCTAGTTCTGTGATGTTTGGATGAGAAAATCACGTTTTTTCACCAGGCATGGTGCAACAACAGAGGAACAGCCTGGATGTGGATGAGGCAGGCTGGGGCCCAGGCATTGTGGCCAAAATGATCTCTAACTGGTGGTATTCCACATGGAACTGGCGCGGTTTTTTCATGTGCAGACAGTAGTAAACGCAGAACATCTATGGTTTACTGCTGCAATTTCCAGGTTGTTTTCTGTTTCAAAATCTGGTTAATGATCGACCTACAATCACCTACACTTTTTGTTTGCTGAGTAAATCCCATGAAAAATCCCCACAAAACATCGTCTAAACCCGCATTCAACAACCAATTCATTCAACCCCATCAAAAACACAATTTACCACCATTCAAACCCATTTAACCTCATGAAAACACCATTGAACCCCCATGAGCCCCATCGGTAAAATTACTCAAAACCACATCAAAACACCATTATTTAAACCCTTACACTACCCATTAAAACCCATATACAAAAAAAACAGAGAAACAAAGAATCTGAATTCTGAACCCCACCAGTAAACCCATTAAACATCATTAAACCCTCATGAAACTCATCAGATTTCACCCATTTGGCCAGGTCGCCACGGGCGAAGTCTTCCTGGGTGCTGAGGCGATGCAACGTGGTTTGGTGGATCGCCTGGCCACCAGCGATGAGGCGGCGAAGCCCCGGGGGATTTGACGCAGATAAAATGGGCTTTTTTTTGCTCAAAAATTGGATGAATTCAGTGAATTCACACAGAAAATGATGGATTTCTTTATGGATTCTACGAAAAAATGGTGATATTCACATGATTGGCTTGGTGACTTGTAAAAGCTACAAGACCTGTAGACTTCAAACCCTCCGGATTTCACCAAGGATTGCATTAACTTCCAGTGAATTCAATTTAGCAATGGTTTATTGACATGAGTTGAATTGATTCAGTCATTGATCTATTTCAACCTGATAGAAAGCCAATGTGAATTACACCTCCAAAAATCCGGATTTCAGCTTCAAACTTTGAGGTTTCACCTACAAAATGGTGGAGAAAAAACACGCTAAACAGGCGAAGACCAGTGATTTTTCAGCAACAGAGATGGTGGTTTAGTTTGCGAAAGCTGGGGGTGGGGATGCTTAGGTGATGATGTGTTCTTTCATCTCAATTAATAGTAATTATATTCATGGTATAGATAGTTCATTTTATGGGTAATTTATTACTTTTTTTCTGATGTTGGATTTATAAAGTGATGAAGGCCGAGGTTGACGCACATGTGTAGTTTTTATCCATAGAATATGGCCCCATCTTGAGGCACACATGGAGGATTATTTCATGATATTTCATGTCCCAACACAGGCAGCAGTTTCTTTCTTGAAAAAAACGCATTATCATCAACATGTTTTAGGACCCGAAATTGGTGTTGTATACTTTACATTTTTTTGAATTTCCAAACCCATAATTTGGGTAAAGCTTGCTCTTTTTCTTCTGCCGGATGCAGGTACCAACTCAACCAGTTGGCTTAGGATCATGATCCTGACATTCATCTTCCGGGGTTGGCTGAACCGCCAGGTATTTTTTGTTGCTTATTTTTTCACAATCATACCCATGAAATATCCCATGACGCATTTCATGAGACATCTTGTTAAATCATATATTAAATCCCCCTTTGGCAACAAACATTCACCAACTATTCAGCAGCTGTCAGCCTCGTGAGGTCTTAGAGGAGTTCATGAAGCTCTCCGACGTGATCCAGGTAGAGATCGGGGGCGGTGATGAGTTGGGAACCGTTTTTACGCTCAGCAAACTTCGTTTTTTTTGCCAGTTGAACCATCGAAAATTGGGGCTTAAGCAAGAAATTCCATGAAATTCCTAGTAAACCTTGAATGTGTAACTTGATGTAACTTGTTTGATAAACCAAAATTGGGGCGATAAAAAACCACCAATCCATGGGGTTTCCCAACAGCAGCTCCACTGGATTGAAGCAACAAGAATTGGGGTGAAACCCCACCATCCCACGGTACTAATTGGGATGTCACCACAAGTAGAAGATGCCGGAATACCCTCTGGTAAACTAGCATAACTATGGAACATCACAATTTTTAATGGGAAAATCCACTATAAATGGCCATTTTCAATAGCTACGTTAAATTACCAGAGGGTTGATTCCAGAAGCCATTCAAGATCAAGCCTTGTTGGTGAACCAGACCACGCAAAAATGGTGTGAAGACAACTGACACATTGACATGAAATTAATATCTGGTTGGTGGTTTGGAACGTGATTTTTATTGTTCCATATACTGGGAATAATAATCCCAACTGACTTTCATATTTTTCAGAGGCGCTGAAACCACCAACCAGATATGTATTATGTAAATTTATGTAAATGAACCGAACGATGAACAATCATTAGTTAAGAATTCATCAGAATCTTTAAACATCAATACATAGCTCACCCCCACGAAACTTGGAGTTTTTCTCTGTGGGCCCCTTGCCCTTGGGCTTCACCCCAAGACCTCAAGGTCTCTATTGCGCCGAAAAAGAAGGCGTCGTTGCTGTTGGCTGCCAGGGGGATAATGTATACTACTTATTAACCAAACATATGGCAGGGTATCTTACTAAGGTTGAGAATGAAGATGTTGTTATTTACATTTATTTACTATTTACCTATTGAAAGCGAGGATGTTGACCATTATTTAAGGATTGGAATTTGAATATATTCACATGTTCATTACGACCAATGCTGTACAAAAACAAATGTTTCGAAACGGCGCTGGCTCAGAATAATGGCATAACCCCCAAAAAATGCATAGTTTGACGGTTTATCTTGTGGATGCAACCAGCCATCCCCAAAATTCCCCCCCCCCTCCCCCGAAAAAAAGTATATAGATGGTTCAGATTCTCCAGCATAAATGCAGTTGTTGGTGGTTAATACGCATGCAATAAAGCCTTGGTATTGGGGGAGATGATTCGTGGCAAATTGAGTTGGATCCCCATGACCATGCATGACCGGTATGGGCGGCCAAGTCATTTACACTAGTTCCTTTCCCCTAGTAGTATATACCCATATATACCTATACCCCACAAACGAAAACTTGGCTTAGTATTGGATCTATGCACGAATTGGGGAAAAAAATGCTGGTGGTATTTACAACAACTAGAATAGTTATTTCAGATGGTTAAACCCTACCGCCGAGCTAAAACCATGTTCAACCCCTTCCAGATGGTCAAAGCATCAATAGGGCTCTTGCGGCCATCGCCAGGGACCATTGCGTGAGTTGTTGGAAGGTGCTCTCTTGGCACGATTCAGACACTGTTTGGAACAGCTTTTCCTTGACGTGATCCCCATTGTTCCTGCCGGGCAGAATGCAGAAATATATACATATATTTGCATACAATATGTACATGAAGAAAACCTGAAAAAATTGGGGTCAACATGGGTCAACCGTTCGTTTGACCACATGCTCTAGCTGCACTTGCCCTGACAACAGTGTGCATGTAGTTTATCATACTATCCTGAGATATTGCGAGTGACAAGCGGGTTACGAAATGCTAGCCGCCAAAACCATCTAGACAGCTAGACTTTTGTGTACTGTATCTGTCGAACATGAGGAACGCCTTAACATAGTTCTGCTGAAAGTTTTTCTTTAGACGTGCATCCCAAAACTTTAATGAGTGTTTCAATCTCCGTATTAAAACATATTTTGATGGATCCGTGGCCCAACCTGTTTGAATGACATAGTTATTTTGATGGTATAGTTCTAATAAATAACCAACATGATCTCGATGAGTTTCAATAATTCAAGTACATTATGTTCAGTTTTTATCTTTGCTGCACATGTGCCCTTTGTCATGGGTTGGTTGGAGAGAATGAATCCTGGAAACATCGTTTTGAAGTGTTCTGAAAACCAATTCCAAATGACCAAGATCTTTCTATATTTCTCATAATTTCCCTTACCATTTCTGTGTTTCCAACCCCGGCATCTTTGAGATTCTTTGAGTCTCTAAAAAAATGGAGATCGCAGGCCGGGTCGAAGCAGCTGAAGGTGCCGTCGCATCACTGTGGCAGCAACTTGGCTACGGGATACCCTCTCGTAAACTAACAGTTTGCTATGGAAAATCGCCATGTTTAATAGGGAAATCAACTATATATGGAAAATGGGATTATAATGTGGATCATGTGGAGGTTATAGTTGATATGATCATGTGGATGACGGGATATAACGGGGGTTAGAATGGAATTATATATTATGGGATTGATTGGCAGATGTTGCATAAGGATAAACATTGGATATGATGGAATAATTTTGGATAATAATAATATGGGAAGAAAAATCGTCGTTTCCCCAACTCCAGTCCTGAAACACTGAAACCATGTGATTTTATGTTGATTTGACCATGAACAATGGCAATAATATGAGATATAATGGGATAAAAAAGATATAATTTCGTGATTAATATTAATGGGGGTTTACTGGTGGTTCAACCAACAAGACTAGCGATAATGCAATGGGATTCAACGTGGATTCCATGATAATAATGGGATAATCGTGGCGAATGGGGATTTTTCACCACAAAACTGGGCATTGGACCAACGAAAAGAGGGATATGGCGGAGAGTATTTTAATATAGTTCAGTTGTACTCGTCTGTAACTAACCAACTTGATATGCATGATAGTTGGAGGTCGGCTCCATTGGGGTATTATTTGGGATAGGGAAAAGTATGATTAACCAGTGGATTTAGGCAGACATGGTGAGTCGTTGAGAATTTCACGAAGCGACACATGGAGATTGCACGTGATGTTGGGTTTAATCAAAGACAGAGATCAAGCCAACATGTATAACATGTGGATTTAAGGATTCAAGCAACACACTCTGCGTTTTTCGCGGGAAAAAGATGATTTGCAGAACACTTTTTTCATATTTTTTCCGTTTACAATGTGTGCAACGTGCAGGGTGAAGGACCAACATTAATGTTGTGGGGGGGATTTTTTCGGTTGAAGCCTAAGGAAAATCAGCCGAAATCCACCAGGAACGGTAAAATTTTCCAGCTAGCCATGTTTGATTACTGGAGGGTCAATTACCCTCTGGCAAACTAACATAACTATGGAAAATCACTGTACGTGCTATTAGTGGGTAAATCAACTATTTTTATGGCCATTTTCAATAGCAAACTGTTAGATTACCAGAGGGTAAGAGATTATGTTTCTGACTGCTGGGCTTTAGATTAATTTTACATGACGTCCCATAGTATTTCATGCTTCGTGGTTGTTTCAGGACAGTCGACTCGTGACGTGTGATTGGATCTTGTAATATCTGTAATTCTTTGCCACAAATGGGAATATATGCTAGTGTGCTACACCCAATGCGATTTCTACCCATTTATACAATTGGGGATACTAATTATACAACCCATTGGGGATACCCGGCCTGGTAAACATACAAAAAGCTATTGAAAATTGCCATTGAGTTCGTGGATTTACCCATTATAGCATGGTGATTTTCCAGTTCGCAAACTGTAAACGTTTACCAGAGGACACTAATTATACAACCCATTTATACAATATTTACTAATTGGGGATGGTTTATACAACCCATAAAGCCATGGTGATCAACTGGGATGGACATAAAATCGCAGTTGGACCTCACCCACGTCCGACCATTACCAAAAAGCCCCAACAGATTTATGTATTGCTTATGTAAATGTATACAGTAATGTATAGATTTTTATCTTCGTATATCTCTTCAGTACCAGTTTTACGAATTCTCAAAGAATCATGCAATACAGATGTTATAAATAATATAATTCTATATATATATATGTTTATATTTACAGAGCAATATATATATATATATGTGTGTGTGTGTGTTTATATCCATTCATATCTTATTCTTTTCACGAATTGTTTCCGTTCAATCTCGGCTCCACCTTAGGCGTTTCACCGGTAGCAGCGCCGTCTTGGAATCCTCAGACCCAAAGATCAACTGACGCGGCAGTCGGGCAGTCGAATCGCCTTTCTAAAGGCCCTGGCAGTGGGATGAAATTCATGTCATAGAGCTGTTATACTATTTTACGCAACATAGATAATTGGTCCATTTGTACTTTTTTGGGGATTGATTGTAGATATATAGATTGTATACCATAAACCCAGTCATGAAATTGACATGTACATAAATATGCCCTGTTCTATGTAAGATAAATATAATGTTACGGGACCATTTGCAGATCATTTTATTTGGGAAACTTTGTTTTTCCATATTTGTACGGTACGGTAGTAAAAAAATGGACATAGAATTTGGTGGAATTTCAACTCGGATGAAAAGAATTGATTAGCAACGTTTGAAACATAGTAATTAGATTGGCAACAGAATCCAACTGATGTCAACATCATGACAAAAATTCAGGGAACAAGAATCTGATTCACAAAATTGTGCCACACATCCTTCTGGTTGACCAGCTGCGGCTAGCTAGTTGCGCCGTGCTTTGCGGTAGATAGATGTTCAGAAAAAAGAGACCTTGCGGACTGGCGCAGAGAAGCTTATCAACGGAGTTTTTTGGGAAGTAGAAACGGAATGAAACGGATATACGTGATATACACCTGCAATTATGTACATGATATGTGTAATAACACATTTTGATATGATCTTCAACGGTTTCGTATCTTTCCAAGACCATTAATTTAACACTTCTTGGTAGGTCTTGAATCCTGAAGGGTGGAAGGCCTGGAAGGCCCTTTCTAGCCCCGCACAAAGGGTGAAGATTTTATTCCAAGATGGTATAGATGATCATAAGATTATATACCATTATTAATCATGTATATATACCATTAATAGAAATCTGGCATTTTATTCTAGAATTATATTTGCCTCAATTGTCCAACATGTTCAACATGCTCCAATTGTTCTATGACTGGGGGTTGCTATAGAATCAAGCACAACCTCGGGAAGCCTTGGCGAACGGGTTGTCTCCGGTGTCATGAAAGATGGCTAGCTGAGAAATCCCCAAACGAAATGCGCATGTTCATGGGAAACACATCGAACTAAGTGGGAGATTGTCCATGAGTAAGGCCGGGTATCTATCTATCTATCGATCTATCTATCGATCTATCTATCTATCTGTCTGTCTGTATGTCTATCTATTTATCTATCTATTTATCTATATATCTATCTATCTTATCTATTCCAATCTAACCTAATATTATCTTATCTTATCTTATCTTATCTTATGTATCTAATCTAATCTAATCTAATCTAACCATCTAACCTAAGCTAAGCTAATCTAATCAAATCTAATCTATCTATCCATCTATCTATCTAACCTATCAATCAATCAATCAATCTATTTATCTATCTATCTGTTTGTCTGTCTGTCTGTCTTTCTATCTATCTATCTATCTATCCATCTATCTATCTATCTATCTATCTATCTATCTATCTATCTATCTATCTTTTTCTCTATCTACATATCTATCTACATGTCTATCTACATATCTATCTACATATCTATGTACATATCTATCTGTCTATCTATCTATCGATCGATCTATCTATCGTTCTAGATATCTATCTATATATCTCTATATATTATCTATCTTATCTATCTATCTATCTATCTATCTGTCTGTCTGTCTATCTATCTATCTATCTATCTATTTTTATTTATTTATTTCTTTATGTCTTTCTTTCTTTTTTTATTTCTTTCTATCTATCTATCTATCTATTTATATTTATCATATATGTCTTATCTATCTTATCTATCGTATCTATCTTATCTATCTTATCTATCGCATCTATCTTATCTATCTTAGCCATCTTATCCATCTTATCTATCTTATCTTTTATCTTATCTATATTTTCTATTTTATCTATCTAAACTATCTTAACTATCTTATCTATATTATCTATCTTATCTATCTTGTATATCTCATCTTAGCTCGCGTATCTATCTTATCTATCTTATCTATATTTTCTATTGAATATATCTAATCTATCTAATCAATCTAATCAATCTAATCAATCTAATCTATCTAATCTATCTAATCTATCTAATCTATCTAATCTATCTAATCTATCTAATATGTCTAATCTGTCTAATCTATCTAATCTATCTAATCTATCTAATCTATCTAATCTATCTAATCTATCTAATCTATCTAACCTATCTATCTATCTAATCTATCTAATCTATCTAATCTATCTAATCTATCTACTCTAGCTAATCTATCTAATCTATCTAATCTATCTAATCTATCTAATCTATCTAATCTATCCATCCATCCATCCGTCCATCCGTCCATCCATCCATCCATCCATCTAATCTATCTATATAATCTATCTATCTATAAGAGTGCCCATGTATAATCCCATCCCTCTTATAACAGGGCCAACACTAAACCAGAGGTTCTAATAGGTTGATATTACTACGGGAAAGGGCCCAGTGATAGCGGGTGTTTTGTCCGGTCCGGGACTCGGGTGACAACGACGGATTAGAGGAATCACCCCCCCGTTTTTGGCGTTATTTCAAGTTCATCTACCCAGACCGCGGTGGAAACCACGAATCAATAGGCCAGGTATGGCTAGGTAGGATGAACTTAACATTGTTGCTTGCGGTCAGTGACTGAGCATTGAAGTGATTGAGTAGGATTTGACTTGGATCGAATGGACAAAAAATGTCACTGTGGGATTAGACCTAAGTTTGTTGGGTACTGGCCACGTTTTTGTTGTTGTTCCCTCTTTTTTGTTGGGGTGGTAGCACAATATTATATTGCATAATATTGTATAAAGTATATATATATAGGATAGATTAATGATGTCTAATGTTTTCTCACTTTCAATATGTTATTGTTTTTTCTGAGGGCTACCGGAAGTTAAACATGGTCGCTTCATGCCTCATGGGGACGACCCCCAATTTGCTAAGGCAATTAAGAGGGGTTTTAAGCCAAATTACAACTGGAGTGCTTAAGCACTTGGACCTGGATTATTGTACCCTCGTTTGATGGGTTGATTATAATAAAACCCATGTGTGCTGATTCAAACTCCTTATGTTGGCCCTGAATCATGATTTGATGGTGAAATCAATGGTTTGTTGCTGAACTCCCGTAGCTTAAATCCCACTTTGTTTCTTTTGTTGAATCCCAGTTTGATGAGTTTCTTGACTAGTTAAATTCAAGTGTTCGCTGGTTAAGCCATATGAATGTGTTGGCATATTTTTGTTGGTAAAATCCAAATTTTTGTTTGAATCCAGCCTGAAGATTGGTCCGAGGCGTGCAGTGGGGCTGTGGATCTCTGCCGATGTCTCTTGGAGGGAGGTGCCAGAACTGAGACCAAACCGGCAAGCGGAAGCGATCATGGTGATTTAAAGGGGTTTTAATGGATTTATCGGATTTATTGGGATTTTTAGGGTGGTTTTACAGGGTTTATCACCAGTAAAACCAGCAAGATTAGGGAAACTCATGAGAGAAATGGTGATTTAGCAAACCATTTGTTTGGTGATAAATGGGAATGTGGATACAACATGATACAACCATTCATTAGTCTAGGGAAATCAATAGTAATATAGTAATAATTAGTGATATAATGTGATGAGATCATGGGGGGTTTTGTTAAGTTGGAGAGGACAGTTACCAACTTTATGATAGATATGGGCCATATGGGGTTGTTTGAAAACAGCACTTTTAACAGAAACAGAGTTCTCGGGATTCACCGTGGGATTCTCGGGATGCCTTACTAAGTCAAGATACGCCAATTGACCTAGCAGAAAAAATATGAAAATTATGAACGCCAATGATAGATTATAGTAAGCTAATGTAAGCTATAGATATATTGGTATTAATTAATATCATTTTGTAGTTTTGAACACCATGGTAATGTTTTTGTCATGCTCATGTTTTTGATTAGTAACGCCAATAATAGCTATGATTTTCGAAACTCACAATTTTGATCATGAATCCATCACCGTCGTCGTCACCCATCATCTGTGTCGGTGCTAACGGCTTCACGAAAAAAACGAGTGCTTTCGGGTCAATACACAACACATTGAAGGTTTAAACATGTTGAAACCATCAAACAGTCATAGGAGTCATAGGTTCTATCCGAAAAAAGATACATTATCGGAATCATCCAGCTGTTAGCGGTTCTCATCAGAGTTAAGAGTTCAGACTCACCGCAGTTTTGCTCATGTTTCTGGTGCTCGTATCAACTGCATTTAATATCATTTAACATCCACATGTTTGGGTAGCCACGATTCATTTTGATTCACATCATCCAGGTACCCAAGTTGCCATTTTCATATTGAACATCAACCACCAATCAGTGGACTTGAAATCCGTTGCGGATGAAAACCAGCGTCTGAGTCAGTTTTCAACACAGGAACCATTAGATACCCAGTGGTTCACATTCTCAGAGCTATCGGATTATCGGACCCCAATGCATTGGCTCCTCCCCGCGGGCGCCTGCTTGGCGGCCTTGGCGGCTGCGGACGGCGGGACGGACTTTTGGAGAACTCAATCAGGGGCGTGCAGGTGGGGGGGATGGGGATGGCAGGAGCAATTCGTGGCTTTGATATCAGCAAAAACAGGAGACATGTGGATATTTTCTTGGAAAATAGCATTGAAGATTGAAAGTACCATAGAACATACATATGAACATACCATAAAACGTGATAAGACATGAACAGTTTGGCATTTTGATCTTCTTTAACTGGGTAAACCTTGGTGACTGGTAGCTTAGCGTGCATTTTTTCCGGGAACATCTAAGATGTCACCAACTACATAGGGAGGAGCACGTTATTTCATGCAAACAAAACAACACACATACACTGTAGACTGTACTCCAGCGGAAAATTGGACTCAGCCCATGACAGATTTGGTATAAAAGCCTTGGTGAATGCCAGCTTAATTGGTGGTCAAAGTGGGGGTAGATCCACCGGGAATAATTCTTGCAGTTTAGCAACGGCAGCAGTGGTGGAATCAACGATACGATGCTGCAATGGGATGTTTGTCTCAGCAATGGTGTGATCATCAGTAATTAATTCTGATGCCGGAAAATTAATATCATACGTAATACGCAGCTAGGAATCAAAATAAGAATTTCAGCATCAAGCTTGCATGGCCATGGTTAAAGGCATATAAAGGATTCTAGAGGCATATTCGGCATATTGCCATATCTTGTGGGGGAAAAGAATCAGGAAACTCAACACTTCAAGGTATAACACTACAGGATGGTTTCCCGTGATCCCTTAAGTCAAGTCAGGCTGCACGGTGCATATTTGTGCACATGTGTATAAGATGAATATACATATACCTATGCGCGTACTTATAATGTAATGGAATCGAACGTATTGTTTGCGTGCATGTTATCAGTTAATCTGAGAGAGAGAGAGAAAGAAAGGACCAACGAGGGTCTGAATGCATATATGTATGTATGTATGTATATATATATATATGTATAATTATTTGTACATATTATATGTATATGTATATATATATATATGTGTGTGTGTGTTATAAAATGTTAAGTTATACGCATATATATATATATATATTGCCATCATTTTCACCAACCCCTTTCACAGTTTTCGAACCGCATGCAGGGACTATTCCGGCAGCAACGTGAAGTCCGAACCACTGCCAGACATCGCTCGTTTCAGCGCGTGCCAAGTTGCTTGCATGGAAGACTCACTCTGCGAAGCTGTGGAGTGGCTTGGCCCTTGCCGCGCTGCCGCCCTGGTACATTGGGCAGATCTTAGCATGATATCAGGACTGACATTTGGAGTCTATTGGGGGGTGTTTCACTGATTTCACCAATCAAAATGCTGGTAGAATGGAGACAAAGCGGTATAAAGTGGGATATGATATGATAATGGGGTATTCTGGTTGGTGGTTTGGAACATGTTTTATCATGTTTTTATGTTTCCGCATATTGGGAATGTCATCATCCCAACTGACTTTCATATTGTTCAGAGGGGTGGGTATACCACCAACCAGGTATATATACTGTACATATACATATATATATATATATATTAACCATCATTAACCATATAATAACCATATATTAACCATATATTAACCACTATTAACAGTATAATAACCACATATTATTTGGGTCAAAGATGGTGTGGCCTCACCTTGCGACGCCTCGTTTGAAACGATGTTGTGGAGTTGGGGAGTCTCCAGGTGGCTAGTGGGAGAAACATATCGAGGGCTTACCCCTACATTTGAGGATTAGCAACGCTTGTTTCGTGTGCTTTTTCTCCAGCAAAGCAAGCCATATATAATGTACATATATATATATATGTATATATATATATATTGTAATGTATAGATACATATTCTTATTATATATATATATTTGTATACATGTGTGTGTGTGTCAAGTTATTCGACAACAGTGGACTATTCCATGTTTAGCTCGTCTAGGGGTGGCTGGCTGAGGTGGTATCGTGAGCAGTTCCTCGGAGCACACTGTCATCGCATTCCCCCGCGTCCCGCGTATGAAATGGCCCATCTCACTGGGGAGACCTCACACCAGCTGCTCGGAAGATCGTGCATTGTTTTGATGATTTGGCAATGTCTCCAGCGTGGAATACCCTCTGGTAAACGTTTGCATAACGGACATAACTATGGAAAATCACCATTTTCAATGGGAAAACTCACTAATTATAAATGGTCATTTTCAATAGCTATGTTAAATTACCAGAGGGTCATGGCAATATTAAAAAACAAATCAAACGCATGTGAGGTAAAAGCTGCGGGATTGAACCAGTAGAAATGGTCAGACAATTTTGGATGGACATACGGAAAATAAACGTTGAGATCATCACTGTAACTGGTTTGGGCACGGAGCTTTTCAACAAATCTATGTTCAAGTCCTTTGCAAAGAAATTTATCCCCTTCAGCTGGTATGTTTGATTCCTGATGGATCAAGCACCACCACGCACTCCAAGCACTTTCTCGAGCTCCAAGCAGTTCGCAGCTTGCACCCCAGGGATTGCCATGATCGGCTTTGAAAACAGTGCAGGCACCATCCATACTCATTCCCAAATACATCTAGTGATCCTGGCAGGTAGATAGATAGATAGATAGATAGGTAGATAGGCGGATAGGTAGATAGGTAGATAGAAAGATACATAGATAGATATATAGATGGATGGATGGATAGATAGATAGATAGATTGATTGTTTGACAGATTGATAGATTGATAGAAAGAGAGATTGATAGATTGATAAAAATTAATTGATTAGATTGATAGGATTGATTACATTAGATTGAGAGATGGATAGATTGATGGGTTGATGTAGTGATAGATAAATTGATAGATTGGTAGATTGATAGAGATGGAGAGGTAGATAGATTGGTAGATAGATTGGTAGATAGATAGGTAGAAAGGTAGATAGATAGATCGACAGACAGACAGACAGACAGACAGACAGACAGACAGACAAACAGATCGATAGATAGATTAGATAGATAGATAGATAGATAGATAGATAGATAGATAGATCGATAGATAGATCGGTAGATGGATAGATCGGTAGATGGATAGATCGGTAGATGGATAGATCGGTAGATGGATAGATGGATAGATAGATAGGTAGATAGGCGGATAGGTAGATAGGTAGATAGGTAGATAGGTAGATAGGTAGATAGAAAGAAACATAGATAGATATATAGATGGATGGATGGATAGATAGATTGATTGATTGATTGTTTGACAGATTGATAGATTGATAGAAAGAGAAATTGATAGATTGATAAGAAATAATTGATTAGATTGATAGGATTGATTACATTAGATTGAGAGATGGATAGATTGATGGGTTGATGTAGTGATAGATAAATTGATAGATTGGTAGATTGATAGAGATGGAGAGGTAGATAGATTGGTAGATAGATTGGTAGATAGATAGGTAGAAAGGTAGATAGATAGATCGACAGACAGACAGACAGACAGACAGACAGACAGACAGACAGACAAACAGATCGATAGATAGATAGATTAGATAGATGGATGGATAGATAGATCGATAGATTAGATAGATGGATGGATAGAGCGGTAGATGGATAGATCGGTAGATGGATAGATCGGTAGATGGTATAATGGATAGAAGATAGGTAGTAGTTGTGGGGGGGGTTTGGCGGATAGGTAGATAGGTAGATAGGTAGATAGGTAGATAGGTAGATAGAAAGAAACATAGATAGATATATAGATGGATGGATGGATAGATAGATTGATTGATTGATTGTTTGACAGATTGATAGATTGATAGAAAGAGAAATTGATAGATTGATAAGAAATAATTGATTAGATTGATAGGATTGATTACATTAGATTGAGAGATGGATAGATTGATGGGTTGATGTAGTGATAGATAAATTGATAGATTGGTAGATTGATAGAGATGGAGAGGTAGATAGATTGGTAGATAGATTGGTAGATAGATAGGTAGAAAGGTAGATAGATAGATCGACAGACAGACAGACAGACAGACAGACAGACAGACAGACAGACAAACAGATCGATAGATAGATAGATTAGATAGATGGATGGATAGATAGATCGATAGATTAGATAGATGGATGGATAGATAGATCGATAGATCGATAGATAGATCGATAGATCGATCGATCGATTGATCGATAGATAGAGAGATAGGCAGATTTGTAGATATGTTAGATACATGGATGATCAATAAATGTATAGTTGCTATGGTTCTTAAGGACTTATGTCTTTTTATATGTCCATCTCTTTTGTCCATTTTCTGTCTATTTGTCCATTGGCAGAGAGATGGATAGATGCATAAATGGATGGATGGATAGATAGACAGATAGATCGATAGATAGACAGATAGACAGATAGATAGATAGACATGATTTAAAAACCATAGGGACCACCCAGGTGGTCGAATTCCGAGGCCTTTTCAAGGTGGTGGGGAGCCATATGATGCTCAGTGCGCCTTCCGAATTGGTTGCCGCGACGCATTTTCCCATTATGAGGGTTTTTGCAAGGCGCCATGGGATCAGCAACGGTGTTATTTGGATGGTATAGTGCTTCTATACAGTGGGAGAAAATATGATATATAAATTAATGTAGCGGGATGTATAATCAATTCAGCTATAAGATTGAGTTAGATCATTTTTTCTTGGCTAGTCAAACGGATTGCAAGTGGATTATGATTAGTTATCTACAAATTTAATCCTTTTAATCCCATCTCCCTTCTCAATAGACTTCCCCATAAAAGGGATGGGCCAGACACAGGGTACGAGCGTCTCGGCGACAGGATTTCCGGAATCGTGACGTGATGGCCGATCCGGTCCCGGACGCCGTCGAATCACTTGAAGCATGCCAAGCAGCCTGCAGGGCGGATGATGGCTGTGAAGGAGTCGAGTGGTATCCAGACACACAAGGCCAGTGAAGAAAACACTTGACAATTTTTGAATGCCAGAGAAGATTGCAGTTTTGGCTGGGATGAATCATTGGATTATAATTGGAAAAAAAAAACGTTGGATTTCAATGGATGAGAATAAACCAAGATTGTCAATATCTAAGGGTGAGAATAAACCATAGTAAACCATTTTATTTTTGGAAACCTTATTTTCAGACGAACCCCAATGTCTCTCCAAGAGGTCGGGCGTAAGAATGGGTGAACACATGTGAACACAAATGAGCCATGCGGAAAACTGGTTGCCTTCATTGGGACCCTGTCATAAGAACCTTGGCGTAAGAGGTTTGGCTCAAATTTAACACCATTTTAACACCAATTTGTTGCCGCGCAAGCTGGCACTGTGTCCGCAAGCAATGCGTAAGGGGACTCGTAAGCAAATCCTTACGATGTGTCAAAGAAGATAGGTTTTTGGCACGGTACAAATGGTCTTCAAGTCTACTTTGACATGAATTGCCTTAAGCGTGCGAGGGGAGATACTTCTTAGGGGCCTTCTTGCTGCAAGTCTATTCAACCATAGAAAATGTTGTACCCTGAAAAATGTAGGCCACACCCAAGCAGGTGTTTTGGGGATTTCATTGGGGTAAGTTTAGGCTTTCTTTAGAGTGCTTAGCTTGATTGATGGGGGGGGTGTACCGACAAACCCTGGCAAAACATTACATCCCCTGAAGTGGCCACTGATGAATAGGATTTGGTGGTGAAGTCTGAGTTTTGGAAAACTGTGGACAAGTTCTGTTTAAGCACGCACTGTTCCAATTAGAATGTGGCTGGGTGCTCTGACCCAGTTTTCGTTGCTTGTTGGGGGTACTTGGTGGATTTTTGAGGAATTCTGTTTGGATTGTATTGGATTCCTTTTGAGTCTTGCTTGCTATGGCCTAAAAGTTTTTGTTTTTTCTGTTTTCCGTGTTTTTTCTTTTTTAAACGCCTGTCAATTCTTTAAATGGTTGTTCGGTTTGGATTGGGATATGGATGGCCCAATAGTGAAATTTTTCCGGACGTTTTTTTTTTGCCTGTTTGCAGGATGTGCTGGATTTGGATGGGATACTGTATAGATAGCCCAACCGTTTTTTTCTCTTTCATATGTTTCTTGCGATTTTGTTTTGCTTTTATTTTTTGGGAATTGGATTTTTCACGGTGTCACGTCTCAGGTTTCTTTGCAGTATTTTGGTGGTGCCAGGATAAGTTTAGATGACACATCAAAGAGAAGAGGCAAAGGAACAAGAAACCAACTGAGCCAGCAGCTGTGCAGTTGAGCATTTCATAGCTTTGGATATTTCTGAGGAAATTCAGGTATTCATTTGGACAATTATCGCATTTACGGGTAAATTGTCGGCTCTTATTGAATATAAACTGGCATCATAGTGGGAAACACCCAGTTAGAAACACCTTTAATTAATTAATTAATATTAATTATATATATATATTATATAAGAAGAATAGGTGTAGTATGGTGTAATGCCAGCCTATGAACTTGAAGTCACATCAAACTGGGAGAGCCTGGCCAATCATTTTTTGATACGGCCTGCGATGATCAATGCCCCCTTTGAGAACTTGGTACAGCAAGGCAAGAAAAAAGGATATCCTCTGGTAATTTAACGTAGCTATTGGAAATGGCCATTTATAGTGGATTTTCCCATTAAAAATGGTGATTTTCCATAGCTATGTTAGTTTACCAGAGGGTATATGAAGGCTATGAAGGGAAGGATCCAACATGATGTGACCCAACAGGAATCCAAAAGTCTTCACACATTTTAGGGGCCGAGGATTCAAGTCTTTCCGCCAGGCTGGCAAAACCACAAATGCCACAAGTTCCCGGGAACGCCTGGTTCTGGTGGCTCATCCAGTATGCAGGTGGTACAAGGCGGAGGCGATTACCTGGATGCACAATGCTATGTGCGGCACTGCTTTGGAGGAGTAGCACGACTCAGAAATGATCGGTGGCAGCACTTCACTGGCTATTGCAGGCAGGACCAAGAGGGAACAAAATTCTGGGGGTGTTTGATTTTCTGTCGATCTAGAATAATTAACAATTATATATATATATATATTAAAAAAATGTATGTCTCAATGTATACATCGTCGCCCATACCCCATACCTGCGCAAACTTGTTTGTTTTCCAATAGGCAGGTTTTTGTTACTCTGATATGTCATTTTGCAGATATCAAGACATACATTCCGTTCTATTTCCTCGCACTACATTTCCACGGCTTTACATGACACCACATCACCTGAAGTCTTAAATCTCACGACAGTACATTCCATAGCTATATTCCATAACATTACTGCACCAAATCCATCCATCCTTCCGTCCATCGATCCAGACACACACACTGTACACACCCTGTCCTTCCAGTTCTGGTCGTTGCGGATGTTTCCTGTGTGGATTGTCCCTCAAATCAGCATTGTAAGTACCTTTTAAATCCTTTTAACGCCTTCTTCCAAAGATGAAATACCTGCAATCAAAACCTTGGTTTAATATCGGATCTATTCAATACTTGGGGGCCCAAACGGTGGTTTCCTCAAGGGAATGGTGAAGATTTGCTGTTGGTGACAATGATTTTCCATCACCCCCGCCTTAATTCCATTTTCCCGATAAATCCTACGGTATGATTTTCCATCCTAGCTGGAACGCTGATCCCGGCCTTGTCAGGGACAGGAGTGGAACCGATGTCCAGGGAAATCCAGTGAACTTGTCAACACTGGAAGCTTGCCAAAGTGATTCTTGGATGTTTGAAGGTACCCCAAAGAAATATCATGGATGATTCAATACTAAAATGGATGGTTTAATAACAAATGTTCCAAATATCATGGATGATTCAATGGGGGTTACCCAAAAAACCATGGGTTCCAATACTAAAATAGACGAATTTTGGATGCTTTGGGGGTACCCGTATTACAGGAAACATTCAAATATATTGTTGTACCTTTTTCATCCGTTTTCCCCATGCTTAAAGTTTACGTGTACATTTTCGCAGTAATGCACCCACCAGACGTGATGAATCTCATGGCAAAATGTTTGCTGTTTTCGGGCCCCACAGTCCCGAGGTTTGTTCTGAGGACCTTTCGTGCGAAGCTATTGTGTACCTGGGCTTAGATGTGGTTGTTTCTTTGATTGGTGCAAGTCGTTCAAATCCCTCAGAACCATGAGCAAAAACCAAAAATACCTATAAATGGTCAAGCTCACCCCCAAAAGACAAGCCATCATCCATCATCTCAACATATCTCAACTATCATCCCATCGGTTACACCGAGTCTCCATCTTGGTTTCGTAATATTTCGTCGCTTCACCCGCCTCTCAGGTGGTATCCGGAGACGGTGAAATGTTGGAGGCTTCCACCTGCACCTGGATCCACCAGTGGACGTGGTGACTCCACAGAGATGCCGCTTGGAGCCTTCGGGCGGCGTGTGAAGGGAGAGAATTCATGGCAACAAAAAGAGGCCAACATGTCACATGAATCACATGATGGCAATTGATGGCATGCGATAAATTATATATGAATATATATATGAGTTATTCCTTTCTGCTGATGTACCGAGTCGGGTGACTTCTTGATGGTTTGTTGGGTGATATGTGTTTTTTTCCAATTTTTTCCACCTTGTCCCACCTTGGCGGTAATTCAGGCCGTCCCAGGGTGGTGGAAACTACTTGGATGCGCAGTGTTACCTTCGCTTCGGTCCAGACAGCTTCACACATTTTGACGGTTTCTGTACGGACAGCTGCCGAATTGGCGCCGCCATTGTTGTGGCCGACCATTTGGTCCGTTTTTTTTGATGATTGGTAAGGGGAAATATCCAAAAATATCAAAAAATAGGTTTAGTATGGTCTACTTTCTGGTTGGGAAATTATATGGAATTGTGGTACGTAATGATAAATTGTGTAAAAAGCTTGCCGATGTTCTTTTCCGCTTTTGGGAGGTTGCTATTCCAACCTGGGTTTATCATGGAACGGGGGATCCGCAAAAATCACGTCACGGTGCACCGGCACTGGAGGACCGTGACGGTGTTGACGTGATGGCAGATGCGGTACCTAGTGCTGAGTCACTGGGAGCGTGCCAAGCAGTGTGCCTCTTAAATGAGAGTTGCACTGGAATCCTGGCCACAAGACTACCCTGTGGATCCTTTGGTAAATTTGGTTCTTAAGAATTATGATTTAACATGATTTTCAGATTGCAACAATCATTGGATTTACCCTGGTAATTTGTTGCAGTTTGCGGTGGGCAACGCCATGTTTACTAGGGAAATCATCGCACTGGGTTCGCGAAGGGAAATTGCGGTATGCCATGTGACCATGGCACATAAATGCACGGTGTCACTGTTTTTTACAACAAACATGCTAAAACATGCTAAAACCAAGCATATGTCGGGTAGTATGAAAATTATATATATTTAAGGGCTGACGCCCCTCGTCGGCTCCGCCGGATTTCTCGACCCTCCATTTCATCGCAGTGTGGGCTTGAAAGCTTTTGGATGGGGACCTGCTTCAGAAATATAGTCCTTATGTTTTTTGAAAAAAGTTCATCGAATAGGAACTTTGTTGGAAATAGACGGCTTTTTTTGGGGAGCAAGTGAGTTCCCGAAAGCTCCTGCCAAGGGTTTTTCCCGAAGAACTGCTGCCAATTTCAACTTGTTACTTCGTGTAAAGGCGCCTCTGTGCAAAGACTTCTCTGTGTAAAAGCTTTTGTGTGTAAAAGTTTCTGTGTGTAAAAACCACTTTGTGTAAAGACTTCTTTGTGTAAAAGCTTCTGTGTGTGAAAGCTTCTCTGTGTGAAACGTCTGTGTAAAGATTTCACTGTGTGTAAAAGCTTCCGTGTGTAAAACTTTCTGTGTAAAGTGTAAAGGCTTCTCTGTGTAAAAGCTTCTGTGTGTAAACGCGTCTGTGTGTGAAAGCTATATATCTGTGTAGAGACTTCTTTGTGTAACAGCTTCTGTGTGTAAAGGCTCCTAGACGTTTGTGTGCAAAAGCCCCTTAGGGTAAAGACTTCTCTGTGTAAAACCTTCTGTGTGTAAAAAGCTCCTTTGTGTAAAGACTTCTCTGTGTAAAAGCCCCTGTGTGTGTAAATGCTTTTGTGTGTAAAAGCTCCTCTGTGTAAAGGCTTCTCTGTGTAAAAGCTTCTGTGTGCAAACGCGCCTGTGTGTAAAAACTCTCTCTGTCAGGCCTTCTTCGTGTAAAAAGTTCTGTGTGAAAAAGCTCCTAGACGTTTGTGTGCAAAAGCTCCTTGGAGTAAAGACTTCTCTGTGTAAAACCTTCTGTGTGTAAAAAGCTCCTTTGTGTAAAGACTTCTCTGTGTAAAAGCCCCTGTGTGTGTAAATGCTTTTGTGTGTAAAAGCTCCTCTGTGTAAAGGCTTCTCTGTGTAAAAGCTTCTGTGTGCAAACGCGTTTGTTTTTTAAAAACTCTCTCTGTCAGGCCTTCTTCGTGTAAAAAGTTCTGTGTGAAAAAACTCCTAGACGTTTGTGTGCAAAAGCTCCTTAGAGTAAAGACTTCTCTGTGTAAAACCTTCTGTGTGTAAAAAGCTCCTTTGTGTAAAGGCTTCTCTGTGTAAAAGCCCCTGTGTGTGTAAAAGCTTGCTGTGTGCAAATGCTTTTGTGTGTAAAAGCTCCTCTGCGTAAAGGCTTCTCTGTGTAAAAGCTTCTATGTGCAAACGCGTCTGTGTGTAAAAACTCTCTCTGTCAGGCCTTTTTCGTGTAAAAAGTTCTGTGTGAAAAAGCTCCTAGACGTTTGTGTGCAAAAGCTCCTTGGAGTAAAGACTTCTCTGTGTAAAACCTTCTGTGTGTAAAAATCTCCTTTGTGTAAGGACTTCTCTGTGTAAAAGCCCCTGTGTGTGTAAAAGCTTGCTGTGTGTAAATGCTTTTGTGTGTAAAAGCTCCTTTGTGTGAAGGCTTCTCTGTGTAAAAGCTTCTGTGTGCAAACGCGTCTGTGTGTAAAAAGCCTTCTGTGTAAAGACTTCTTTGTGTAACAGCTTCTGTGTGTAAAGGCTCCTAGATGTTTGTGTGCAAAAGCTCCTTAGAGTAAAGACTTCTCTGTGTAAAACCATCTGTATGTAAAAAGCTCCTTTGTGTAAAGACTTCTCTGTGTAAAAGCTGTAAAAGCCCCTGTATGTGTAAAAGCTTCTGCGCGACTCCTCCATCCAGCTTTCTTTCGGGTCACGCTGTCGTCCAGTTTCAATCTGCAACATTGTTTCTTGTGGAAGAATGCAAAGAACAGGTGAAAGCATCGCAGGTTAAAAAATTGAACATAAACAGCGCACAAAGTGCTGTAATTTACAGCATTTTGCGCTGTCAGATGGCAAGAACCCGCGTAAATACCACAGTTTTAGTCCCCGAAAGTGGCTAAAACACTGTTATTTGCAGGGTTTCGTTCACGCCACGATCTTCGATTTTTTGAAAAACGCGTAAATACCAGCGTTTTTTGCGTTCATCAATGCAAAAAAAACGGTTCAAAAAGGGAAGAAAATGCTGTAATTTACAGGGGGTTTGGCGCCGCCACGGGCAAAAAACTGCGTAAATACCAGCGTTTCGGCGTCCAAAAGTGGCCAAAACATCGCTATTTACAGTGTTTCGTGCCTTCTACGTTTTCTTGAAATTGCAAAAACACTGTGAATACCAGCAGTTTTTGCGATCAACCCGCCAAAAATGCTGTAATTTACAGTGTTTTTTTTCTTGGCTTTCAAAAACACTGGTATTTGCGGTGTTTTGTGCATCTCGGGTCCAAAAAGCATTGGTATTTACAGCATTTTCTGCTTTTTTGCATGGCTCCCGCAAAAGACGTGCATTTTGTGACTTTCGAAAAGCGAAAAATCGTCCGAAAAATGTGTCAAAACGGCACTTTTTTTCCGATTTTAGGTACCCTCCAAACGGGGGGGGGGCCTTTTGCTCTTGAAGACGCTGATGAGCGACCCGGATTCCGTCCAAAAAGCTTTCCCCCACCCTCCTGAAGGATTTTTGGTGTTTTTCGGGGCCCGGCGTCGGAGGGTCGGCGGTTTGGGGCGCGCCTCACCACAGAGCTCTAGTCGCTCTGGGACGCTCGTAGGGCAAGCCACTCGTGTGGAGCCGGCGGAGCCGAATTTTTGGGCTGACGCCCCTCGTCGGCTCCGCCGGACCACTCGGCCCTCCATTTCATCGCAGTGAGGGCGTGAAAGTTACTGAATGAGGACCTGCTTCAGAAATAAGTATATTCCTTAGGTTTTTTGGAACATATTTGTTGGAATAGACGTTTTTTGGGGAGCAAGTGAGTTCCCGAAAGCTCCTGCGAAGGGTTTTTCCTAAAGAACTGCTGCCGATTTCAACTTGTTACTTCGTGTAAAGGCGCCTCTGTGCAAAGACTTCTCTGTGTAAAAGCTTTTGTGTGTAAAAGTAAGATCCTCTGTGTAAAGACTTCTTTGTGTGAAAGCTTCTTTGTGTGAAAGCCCGTCTGTGTAAAGATTTCTCTGTGTGTAAAAGCTTCCGTGTGTAAACACTCTCTGTGTAAAGGCTTCTCTGTGTAAAAGTTTCTGTGTGTAAACGCGTCTGTGTGTTAAAGCTCTCTGTGTAAAGACTCCTTTGTGTAACAGCTTTTGTGTGTAAAAGCTCCAAGACGTTTGTGTGAAAAAGCTCCGCAGAGGAAAGACTTCTCTGTGGAAAACCTTCTGTGTGTAAAAAGATACTCTGTGTAAAGGCTTCTCTGTGTAAAAGCCCCTGCGTGTGTAAAAGCTTGCTGTGTGTAAACGCTTTGGTGTGTAAACGCTCCTCTGTGTAAAGGCTTCTCTGTGTAAAAGCTTCTGTGTGCAAACGCGTCTGTGTGTAAAAAGTCCTCTGTGTAAAGACTTCTTCGTGTAAAAACTTCTGTGAGTAAAAGCTCCTAGACGTTGGTCTGCAAAAGCACCTTAGAGTAAAGACTTCTCTGTGTAAAACCTTCTGTATGTAAAAAGCTCCTTTGTAAAGACTTCTCTGTGTAAAAGCCCCTGTGTGTGTGGGTAAAAGCTTCTGTGCGTCTCCTCCCTCCAGCTTTCTTTCGGGTCACGCTGTCGTCCAGTTTCAATCTGCAACGCTGTTTCTTGTGGAAGAGTGCAAAATAATGCAAAGAACATGTGAAAGCATCGCGTGTTTACAAATTGAACATAAACAGCGCACAAAGTGCTGTAATTTACAGCATATTGCGCTGTCAGCTGGCAAGAACCCGCGTAAATACTACAGTTTTAGTCCCCGAAAGTGGCTAAAACACTGTTATTTGCAGGGTTTCGTTCACGCCACGATCTTCGATTTTTTGAAAAACGCGTAAATACCAGCGTTTTTTGCGTTCATCAAGGCAAAAAATCGGTTCAAAAAGTGCAAAAAATGCTGTAATTTACAGGGGTTTGGCGCCGTCACGGGCAAAAAACTGTGTAAATACCAGCGTTTCAGCGTCCAAAAGTGGCTAAAACACTGCTATTTACAGTGTTTCGTGCCTTCCACGTTTTCTTGAAATTGCAAAAACAGTGTAAATACCAGCATTTTTTGCGATAAACTTGCCAAAAATGCTGTAATTTACAGTGTTTTTTGGCTTGGCTTTCAAAAACACTGGTATTTGCAGTGTTTTGTGCATCTCGGGTCAAAAAAGTATTGGTATTTACAGCATTTTCTGCGTTTTTGCATTGCTCCCGCAAAAGACGTTAAAACGCAAAAATGCTGTAATTTACAGCATTTTGACCATGTCGAAAAGCTGAAAATCGTCCGAAAAATGTGTCAAAACGGCACTTTTTTTCGATTTTAGGTACCCTCAAAACGGGGGGGGGGCGGGATTTCGCTCTTGGAGACGCTTATGAGCGACCCGGATTCCGGCCAAAAAGCTTTCCCCCACCCTCCTGAAGGATTTTTGGTGTTTTTCGGGGCCGGAGTCTGGAGGTCGGCGGCTTGGGGGCGCGCCTCACCTTAGAGCTCTGTCGCTCTGGGACGCTCGTAGGAAAGCACTCGTGAGGGCAAGCCGGCGGAGCCGAATTTAAGGGCTGACGCCCCTCGTCGGCTCCGCCGGATTTCTCGACCCTCCATTTCATCGCAGTGTGGGCTTGAAAGCTTTTGGATGGGGACCTGCTTCAGAAATATATTCCTTATGTTTTTTTGAAAAAAGGTCATGG